TGCAACCTGATGATTGCGGCAGTGGACTTGGCTCATTAGCAGCCTTGCTTCGACAGCACTCCACTAGATTTAACCTTAGCACGATATCTCTGTACTTCGTATTATAGAGAGTTAAATGCTGGCGCGTGTTACGCATCAAATGGGCCTGTGTACTGGAATATGAATTGGATTCGATTCAATTCGATTTCCGAGTAAAGCCAAGACGAACAGCGAAGGTCTTCAATGAGGCGCAGCAGTTTGACCGAGACTGAGAGTTGTGTCTGTATCTCTAGTTGTATCTATTTCCATTAATTAGAGGCAAGCGATGATGCGTCAGTCCGAGTATCTTTTGTCTGAAACTGGCTTTCAGGCAACTGGCAGGAGATATTATAATAATTTATATGATTTTGCATTGTTCTCCTGGCCGCTTCTTCGTATCTCGCGTTGTTTATTTAATTTGCCAACTCAACTTTTTCGCTCCGATTTGCGTATCGTTTCTGAGATGCTTTTTACCACTGAGTCACGTTCAATGTCGCGGGCTCGAGCGTGATTCTTCATTTCAAATTGGACAGCACAAAAGAAAGGACCAAAATGGCTAAAAGGCGTTTTACAGCTTCCATTTAAAGTGGGGCCATAGGCGTCTATTAACAAATGCGGATTAAATAAAATTACCTTTTTGCGCGACAAGCAATTACTCCTCAATTACAAATTTACTGTCTTCGCCTGGCGCTCTCCTTACTTTTTATGATTATTGCATTCAATTAAACTAAATTGCTTTGGAAATTGGTCTCGTTTGGCCACTTGCCAGTCGTTTCACAGCGGGCGCCATCTCCCAGCTTTCATTTTGCTAGATAGATGATGGCTTTAATTCCCAACTATTTATAATAATTACTAAAGCAAACAAACCCACACGAAACGAAGCAGTACCTATAAAAAGACTTTGTTGAGCGTGAGCGTCAGAGATCATTGGGGCAGGGACTTAAACTGGGACGCAGAGGCCCGTTCCAAACTGACCAAGTCGCCATAAAACCCAGAAATAAAGCTGCCTACGAAAATGACGACGACGACGCGGCGTCTGCCTCGAATTTTTCATTTCAGCTGAGCAAGCAACTCACAAAGTCATCGTCTCTGCTGGTTGACCCCAAAGTTTGTTGTTGTACGCCAAGTGCTTGGAAATTCAAATGGGTGAAAGGGGTACCAAGCCAAAGTATTTTGATGAAGTAATAAAGAAAAGTGGAAAAAGTTTAAGTGGGGTCTTTAGAAGTTGCTGATGTGCTAATGGAGTAGAGAGTTTTTCATAGGAAATGACATATAAACATTTAATGTAGGAGTAATTTTATAACGTAATTAATCTTTTACTCGGATAATTTTTTTGGATATACAAAAAATTAGTCAGCTAAAACTATGTTTGGAATATCTTTTTTATAGTTGGTCATAAACGAAAACATAATTAAAATTGTACCATTAAAATACTGCACATTTAAAATTACAACTTCGTAGCCAGTTTATAATTAACATATAAATAGCAAGCCAATTTAATAGCTAACTTTCGAAACCAGCTTCCCACTTATTTTTAATTAATAAGAAATACTTGCTTAATTTAAACATTTAATTGAGCTCACAAATTATTTTAGTTTTAAAAATAGAACTTGGAAAAGTAATGTCATCTGGCGAACCGCAGACACTTAAAAACCTTACGTGACTGGCTGCTCTTAAATCCCCACTAGAACAATGAACACCTGTGGCTATACCCACATATCAAGTTCACAAGTGTGGCCCAAACTGAAACCCATCTTCGTGAGCCAATATCTTTTCTCCGTAACTTTTTGTGTAGCTTTGCGGTTTATCTAGTTAAGAACTGTACTTGCTACAAATTGGGCATCTAAGGCGATGTAAAATCCGAATTAAAGCGATCAATCATGCTGCTCTTTAATTTTGGTCTTGAGTTGTCTTAATGTGATTTCCTACTTTCGCCTATAAAAATTTTGTTTAGTATCGACAAGACGTTTACGTTGGCCGACATAGAGTTCGTTTTTCATTTCTCCTAGTGCAAGCTAATCACATGTTTCCGCCCCAAACCGACCGAAAGAAAAATAGCCGCAGGTGGATGGCTGTGGTTTTGCGCTTTAATAACTTCATTGTCAATGCAATATATGCTTGAAGTTGCACACTCGACAAAAAAAAAAAAAAAAACACACACAAAAGCCAAGCAGCCAGGCTTGACTTCATGTTGTGGCATCCACCGGACTTGATCCAGATGCAGTATGTGCAGTACACAGAAAACCAAAATAACTGAACTAAAAATAACAAATAATGTTATCTAGGACATGAAAAACATGAAAACATGAAAACATGAAAAACGTAAGTTAACAGTTACAAGTTTTGTTAACATCATATAAAATTTATCTAAAATAATAATCATACTAAGATATATTTTATTAGTATACGAGCGACCATCCAATTTATTTCAGTGCAATTGCTGCACAGTAGCTTTGGATGGACAGAGGAGATGGCTATCATCTGTGGCTTAGATTTATGTATTTGTATATCGCATAAGGAAGCGTTGAACTCGCCGAGGAGAGCAATGTCGGACGTTTGTTGAGGTCTTCTTAGTTGCTGTGATGATTCCACAAATCAAGCGTCGTATATTGAGATCATCACCGGCTGTCTGTCTGCTTGATCTCGGGCTACAGGTTTATTTCTCGATCGATGGTGGGTAGTTTTTATGTGACCGAGCTCCGTTGGGCGGTATTGGTATTAAACTCGACTTGCCTTATTTAGTCTTTGGTGTTTTATGACTGCATGACTCGGACACGACCGTTTGTCACACCCGCACAAACGGTAGAGTTGGTAGACTGAATAAAGGAGGATTTACACATAAGGCCTGATTGTATTAGATCAGAGTGAGCCTCTACTTCTTGATTGCCGGCAAATGTTTTCAGACACAATATAAACAAGAAGGAAGCTTTTCCGCAAAATATTTACATAATCTTGCGAGTATCTTTTTAACAAGAATCAGTTGAAGAGTTTTGCGCAGTAGTTTTTCGTGAATTCGCTAGCTTACAACAAAGTCGTAAATTTGGTATATCAACAATGGTGAGTCTTTTGCTCTATTAGAATTTGTAAATATAAAAAAACAAACATTTCTTATCAGTGATTAAATTTGTTATAAAATATATTTTGTACATCCATGTTCAGTTTTTTCAATAAAAAAATCTCGTTATCCAGGGCGTGTCACTTGTGTTCTAGTGATTTGGGTAAACCCCCGAAAGTCAATATAGTGCCCTCTGTAGACATGAAAAGCCCCATGAGCCAAACATAACCACAGACCCCGCCCAAAGAACACTTCCGCACCTCCCTCTTCAGTTTTGGAACCGCAGAAATCCAACAGCGACCACAAAAATTACACAGATCATTTCGAAACTTACATTGAACCGATTTTTTTTATTTATGCGGCGAACAAACAAACGAAGAGTGAGAAAGGCCTTTGATTAGATACAGATTCGGATATGGTGCAGTTGTACCCAAAAAAAAAAAAAAAAAAAAAAAACAAAAAAAAAAAAAAAGAGGGCAATCCCCTTGGCTATAGATTCAATAGATTTGATGATATTACAACAGTTCCAAGTGAGTCTATTAAAAATCATTTGGCCAGCGGGGAACCGCCAGCTGCGAATGAATCAGCATTAGCTTTTTCTCCTGTTGCTGCTGTAACACTTACAACATTTTTTCATGTTTTCATAGGGGAAAAGCTGCGGGCATGGAACTTATAAATAGATTGATTCCCACGCCCACGTGTCTATTTCTAGGTCTTGTGTGGGGCTTTTCTCATGGCTTGTTCTGTTGCTTCACATGACATTGCATTGTGGCAGCTATTTTCCCTCTCTTTTCTTGCGCTTTCCTTGAATTGTGCAATTTGGCGAATTTCCACCTTGGGTTCCCTTTTGTTTGGTCTGTTTTCCCTGCTTTCGTTTTGTTTCGCTGCCTGCTTAATTTGTGTTATTTTCCCATAATAATTACTGACCGTTTACCCGCTGTTCCAATTTCTCTCATTTTGCTCGCGATTTTCCCTCGCCACCTTAAACACGTCAATGTTTTTGTTTTTCTGCTCTGCATTAATATTTTCCTTCCGCAATACTTATGACCAATTCACCCTTCCCACCAAACTAAAAATAAATTCTCACACATCCAAAATAATTTGTATTTGTGTGGTGCTATATAAAAATTTCAATTTATAAACTTTTCAACATTTTTCGCACAACATTTCGCGCACCTCCCTCGGTTCTCGTCCACCACCTGCTGTTGGGGTCGTCACAGTGGGCTAAGATTTGCTTGAACTATACCTTAGTATGTATACAAAACAAAATTATTTAACTTGAAACGTCTTTAAAAACAATATTAAAATGTGTTACAATAATATGGGTAAAATTTATTTTGATTGAAATGTGTTCCTGTAATTCTTGTTTGACCCAAACTTTCGACCACTGTTGACCGGCGTCAACGACTCGTCGTGAGAGTTCTAAAATTAAATATTTAAATTTGTCGCCTTTGCTTTCCGCTCGGCTCTGCCGCCTTTATAACGTTATAAGCTTTGGCTATAAAACCCATCTTTATTCAAATGAACGGCTCATCTCTCCGATGAATATTGGAATTTTGGAATGAGTCTAGGCGGTGGAGAAACCATTTCGGCGGAAACTGGAAGATGAATCACGTTGGAAAGGGGGATTTAACCGGCGGAACAGTAAAATCAACTGATCAACCTTGAATATATGGCACAAGCTGATAGCGAAATCGTCCGAAAGATAAATGATAGCGAGGAGATAACGCTTTTTGCCAGAATCAGCGTAACAACTTCCGGTGAGGAGTCACAAACATAACAAGTAGGGGCCGGGGAGGGGAAGGAGAGAGCATTGGCAAAAGAGAGGGCACCTTCTCCCCCACAACACTTAATTTCAAGCATGGCAATGCCGTCAGCTGGTTTCTCTCTCTTGCTTGCTTGATCTCTCCGCTTTTTCAATTCAATTCTCAACGACTCGTTGCCGCGTACGGCTTGCAAAAGTTTTGATTAATTTAACACTTTTTACCTCGCTGCGTTTTCCGTGTTTTTGTTTTATAATGTGCAGTATCGACTTCGAGTACAAACGTAGCATTAAGTTAAAAACAAGAGTAACCATTGCTGGTTAAAAGCGACCCATGTAAATATGAAAAGTGCGAGTGCATTGCTAATTGCGTGACTTTTCGACAAAATAAATGTAAAATATAAATGCGCAGCGTTTTCTTATCGCATGCTTGATTGTGTGTATGGTGTTTAATTGTGTGTGATTGCAGAAAAAACCGTTTAAATGTGTATGTAGGTTATGGCAAAACTAGCAGCAAAATCAGTTACCATGCAAAAAGAAAAACCAACTGTTGTTGCCTGCTCCTCCTCCTCCTTTATCCAACTTTATTGCTGTTTCTCTGCCTTGTTGTTTGCTTATCATTATCGATTCGGTGACACAATTCAAGTTTAATCGCAGCGACAAGGCAACAAATTGAAAAGTGTGAAGAAAATCTTAGTGCAACGCAGCCATATCGATGGTGATGTAATTTGCATAAACAACAACAAAACCAAAATCGGCGATAACAACAACAAACATTTGGCTTTTGAAGACAAGACCGCAGACTAACCACATACATAATTTTTGGAGTGACTTCAGGTTTAAAACTGCGCCATGTAGGCAGCTCTTCATATGTTGTTTTTGCTCTCTCTGCTAAACACACTTGTTGCATGTAGAGTCCCTCGAGTTTGTGATTAAAGCTGCTTGAATCCGATACGGGTAAATAAATAAATAAACATTGCAATGAGTGGAGGTAAATGTTGTGGGCTACTCCGAAAAATAATACAAAGACCTTCAGTAATTCCTACTCACACTATAAAAAGTTGCAAAAGAACTACTTGAATTGTTTATATAATAGAAGCTTTAATATTTTAGTTGAATTTTTGTAAATTTAATGTTCAGCGTGATAATATAATATGTCTTATTCAGCGACAATAACAAGCTATTTTATTTCACTAAAATAGTCCTGAAGAGTATGGTTAAAAAAACGTTTATTAAATATTTAACTGCTTTAACAAATTCGAACACTTCAACTTATTTTCTTTGTTTTGCAAAATACAATTTTACCCAGACAATATAAAAATTAAAAGAGCTCATGGTTTAATAACATTTGCTATTATTTAACTTTACAAGTAGAAAAACACACTGATTCAGTTTATAAAAATAATAAAAACACAATATTTGAGCAGTGATTTTATTTTATATCAGTTGCGTGACCTTGCACTTATGACTCCGTTCTGTAAAGAACAATCTGTAACGGAATTGTTCACTTTGTGAATCATCACAGTGATGAAATGGGTTTGATATTTAAAAACCAGTTCCGACTGACGTATTAGTACGTGTTAAAATCGCTTTAATTTCCTCATTTACAATTGGGAGTCTTCTATGTAAATTGCATATCTCTTTTTGTGTATTTAAATCTTATTTTCAGACATTAATATGCGATTTAAAACGCTCTTTAGTCTAATAACCTAATTTCACACTTGGAACTTTTAATGTCCTCTCATTTATTTTGAATTAAAATTCAGCACACAATTTTGTTAACGTTCATTTTCGGGTTAATAGAGTCGTAAAGTGTCAATCTGATTTAAAAACCACACTCGTAGAAAACCATAATCTTTCCCTGTGTCAACAGAATTAAGCCTTTATCTTGTTGTTATCAAAACTACTTTAGGTATCTTAATTCAACATGGTCTTTAATATATAAGCAAAGGCTTGTGTAGAAGTTTATTACAGCCCGTTAAACTATCTGGTTCTCCGAGAGCATCTGACTGTTTAGGCAAAGAAATCTTTTATCTATATACAAGTATTTGCCGCAGACGCCCACAGAACGATGGCGAGGTGCTGAGTGTTGAGTGACTGCCACGAGATATGGTCTCGCAGATAGCCACTGCTTCGATTCCAACCGATTCCATTCGAATTGAGTCAGCCGGTGGCGGTTGCCAGTGAAATCCAAGCTACAGTAAGCAGGTCTTCCACTCCGTTTCCCGCCCCTTGGCATCCTCTTCCACCTGACTCCTCAGCTGGCTCCCCAGCTCCTCCGGTTCCGTCTCCGCCGCTGACGTGTGTGTCATGCGGATGGCTGGCCAGCAGAAACGTCAGCGGCAGTCGCGGCGTCGTCGTCATTTGCTGGTTTTAGACAATGCTACAAGTTCCTACACCTACGACCTAGAATTTGCCGAATATGTCAACAGGTATATACTCTATAGGCAGCCGCCGTAAAGCGAATAAACTACGCACACACACACATACACCCCTTGACTATATCTATATTTCCCTATATACGCTACCCGCTATCTATATGTTCGTAGATGTTTGTATAAATAAAAGGGGAACTCATTTAAATTTATCTATGTTATTTCTTATTTTCCTGCAAAATACATTTTCGATTTGTATTTATAATCTCGTGTGGTGTTAAGTCTATTGCAACATGTGAGAACACTAATCCCACTGAATGAGTAAAGAATGTACATATATTGGTCGAAAGGAAATGCAGCAAATGAAACGGAAAGTGTGAAAGTAATCAGTATTGCAGTTACATATTGCATGCGAAAAGTTCAGGGGCCTTTGTAATGGTAGCCACGAAAGCATTTCCCACCCACTTGCAGCATGCGCACTGCGATTTTCCTTGCCAGAAAAGGGAGAATGGCTTCCAGGACAATACGGTGGTTCCATGGTGTAATGGCTAGCACTCTGGACTCTGAATCCAGCGATCCGAGTTCAAATCTCGGTGGAACCTGACTTATTTTATCGGGGTATCGAAGGGTGCATTCATTTGTACTGTTTTAATCATGCAAAATTAAACTTAATTCGCGTCTATCTATTTTTTGTCCATACAGTACATCACAAATGTTCATTCTGGACTCTCTAGCTCAACAAAGAAAGATATATAAAAATATATTTGCATTACTATAAGCATTAAATGCATTTTATATATCCGTACAGTGCGTTCTTAATATATTAAGAGTATATATTATTAAAAACACACAGTATCTTTAATCCATTTCGTTGTAGCGAATGTTAATAGACAAATTTATGTGACGCTACGCACACGCAACCCATCAAAAGACATAAATTAGATCACACAAAAATGTGAAAAAAATATATTAACACGAACAAATCGAATGAACCGCCCATGAGAACCAAATCTCGAGATTCAACCCACACCTAAGAGCAACATAAACATAGCCAGCCCATCGATGTTGGTCAGTCGAACAACAAGTTTTGAAGTTCGTTTCAGTTAAGTTTCAGATTGCCGGGCAAGTGTGTAAATGCAAATTGTCATGTCACTTGGCCCGAGGGCTAATTTCAGCCAAGCACTTTCCTTCGCTAAAGCCAACATCACACAATTGGCCGCTGTAATGTTTGATAAAAAACACTCGCGCATGAAACCAAGCTAAATTGTGTCAAGGGGGCTGCATGACAACGACCGGCAGCGACAGCAACAATACAAATTAAATAAAATTAGCGACTATTTTGCACGAAAATGAGTGGTGAAGGGGGAGGGGCATGGGAGATGGAGATCTGGGTCTCGAGATGCGCGAGAGGGGGGCGAAAAACGCTTGAGTAACTTTGCCCCAAAAGTTGATGAACGGCTAACTGAGCGCCCTACACATGCGGCTCGTATTCTGCCTCTCTTTCTGTCTACACGGAAGAAAACTACTAGTATTTCTATACATACGAAAACAATTTTATTTAACATGTACAAACTTGGTTCAAAACCATTTTCCTTTATATTTGATCATTTAATATGTTATACTTTGAATGTGGTATCAAAACGATACAATGATCTATGATTCTTAATTATTTAGATCTAGGACCTTGATTTTGTTATATATTTTTTAATTTTGTTATAATTTGAATGATATGTACATATATGGTCTAATTACTTTTTTGATCTATGACCCGTTTAGCTATTTTGTTATTATGTTTATGATAGTGTAGATAGTATGCCTTTTTTTCTCCATGTACTTCTTCGGCCTCTTTCGTTCATAGTTTGCGTGTGTGGGCGATGGCATAATGGGGTTTTCGAACGACATTGAACTCGAAAAAATTGAAAAGTGTCGGCGGCCCATACAAACCAAGCTGTCTTTGACTTTGCTTTACACCCATTCGTGTGTGTGTGCCTCTATTTGTTTATGTTTTCTAATAGCCTTTGCTTTTTCTGCAACAAGATCAAAAACATATCCGAAATTCAGTTGTATCGAATGCTGACTGCTCCAGCGGTATAGACACTTTTTCTATATAGCTTCTTTTAGAACCCTTAACTAACACGCCCCTTTGATTGTTTATCTTTTGCAGAAGCCAGAGGAGGATCCGACCAAAAAACAAACGCATTGGATTACAATTTGTGCTGGCCAAGCAAGCAACTAAAAAAATAAGCGCAGAAGAGCAGAAAGTCAAATACACACATCTCTAAAATGGTGGACTATTATAAAGTTTTGGATGTGGCGCGGTCAGCTACCGACAGTGAAGTGAAAAAGGCGTAAGTAAACAAATAGTAAAAAGCGATATATTGGGCCAAACTTTCAAGCTTATATCCGGTCGAAAGCTGACATTGCCTAACCGCTTTAACGATATATACATATATATGAATATATATTTTTGGGCTAATCCCCATTTGCGATTCCATTGAAAATCAACTGAAATGCAATTAATCGACTTTAAGCTTTTAAGTAAGAAATATATAGGATCTGCAGAAACATAAAAAAACTAATCACAATATTTATCACCCACAGATATCGAAAATTAGCGCTGAAATGGCACCCAGACAAGAACCCCGACAACCTGGATGAGGCCAACAAACGCTTCCGCGAGCTGTCCGAAGCCTACGAAGTCCTATCCGATGGTAAGTTTTGTGCTCAAGAACAGATATAACCTACATTTGGAAACCGAAAACAACGAAAGGGGTCACGTATCGACCGATCTGTGATCCTTGGCGGAATCAATGAGTTGAGTCTTTATTGTGTGTTTAGCACGTAAGCGAAAGATCTACGATGCCCGTGCCACGCTGCACAAATCCTCGACCACCGGAAGCAGCAGCAACAGCAGCTCCTACTCCCGCTACCGCAGCGGGAGCGGTGGAGCCTCGTCCTATGGCCGGGACTACGACTACGACTACTATCCGGGCTCGGGCTACGGATCCGGTTCCGGTTCCGGCAGGCGGACCGGCAATCGTTACCAGGCCTTCACCTTCCGCAACATTTTCGAGGGCACTCCGTTCCACAAGCTGTTCGGTAAAGCCAGAGGCAGAAGCGTTGCAATTGTTGCGTTATTTTGGTTTTTGCTGACTGACATCTTGGCGCACGTCGTTCTTGTTTTTTGTTCCATACTTTAATGCAACTAAACGCTGTTTCTTGCCGTGATGGGAAGCATCTAAATATACATACTTCTAGGGTACTTTTTTAAAAAACCCTTTTATGCTGTCAATATGCCAATTCATATGTATTTATCTCTTTACAATTACAAACAGAAGTTTTTGAATTTCAAATAACAAAACCGCTTAACAGAAAGTTTTCAAAGTATTTGAACATACTTAAATTATTTTTGAAATTTCATTTTTGCATTACCGTTTTGAAAAATGGCATAGTCTTTACACTATATAAATATATTATATTTTGTAACTGACTTAAGAAACAATTAGTACCTAAATAAGTACCTATCCCATCACTGGTTCCATGTTAGATCTAAGCTAACACCCAGCAGCTCGAGCGTTTATTACTAAACAAAAACAGATTCTATTGATTTCCCTCGACTTATCTTGTTTATCCGGTTTATTTTCTACAGAAAAGAAGCGTCGCATCTACGACGAGTACGGCAAGGATGGGCTGGGTGAACGTGGCCAGAGTCGGTCGCATGCCCGCCACCACTACAATACACACGATTTCGATGACTTTGATATTATGGGCGGCTTTCCATTTGTCTTCCGCCCGCCAGAGGAGGTGTTCCGCGAGTTTTTCGGCGTGAACTCGCCCTTCGCCGACTTCTTCAGAGGTAAGTGCTTTGCCCGCAAGTCTCATATCGCATTGTAAACGTATCTTGAATGTCTTGCCAGATGCCAACGGATATTCGAATGGCAGCACGAGCGGATCGAGCAGCAGTCGACGCCATGGGGGCAGCAGTGGAGCGTCTCGGCACCACCATCATCACCAACACAAATTGGCCAGCCCGTTCGGGGCACCCATGCTCAACTACTCGATGATGGACTTCTTCATGCCCACCAGCGGCTTCACCTCGTTCTCGTCGATGACGAGCGGCAATGGCAGCAGCGGCGTCACCCACATCTCCAGTGGCCCCAGCGCCGGTGTCAAGCGCACCTCCACCTCGACGGTGTTTGTCAATGGCAAGAAACTGATGACCAAGCGGTAGGAAAAGACCCCTAAGCCATGCACTGAGTGATTGTTTAAAATCCTTCTCATTTCTTTACAGAGTCGTCGAAAACGGCAAGGAAACTGTCTTTTCTTATGAAAATGATGTCCTTAAATCAAAGACTGTGAATGGAGTTTCCCAAAAGCTCTCTTCAATAGCTAATTAATAAAATCCACACATATAAATATATATATATATATCAATATCAGCATCAGCATCAGCACCGGCGTTGGCCGCAACAACAATAACAGCAACAAAAATCAATCAAAGAAAAAGTCATAAATGTAAAGCAGAACATTAACAAACCAAGATGAACTCACTCGGATTTCTTAAATGCTTCGATATATGATACGTTTAACCATTTTGTTCTACATTAGAATCTAGTTACTTTTAATGGAACGAACAGCAGAATAAATGGAGCAGCAGCCAGCGAAGGACCAAGCAAAAGCTCACCAAAAGCAGCAGCAGCATCAGCAGAAGCAGAAGCATCAAGACCAAGCAACAAGGGACAGACAAAAACAATTATCAAAATTCCTTGTCACAGCGAAATTTATTGTTTGATGGTAGTCTTGCACAAAGCTCCTCAAAATAATTGCTCCGGTGGAATAAAGCCAACACCATCGGCAGCAGGATCAACTGAAAAACACAACTGAATATGCTAAGCGCTTAAGCAATTTAGCCAATAAGTTCAAGGGCGGGCCAGGCTTGTAGAGCTGTTCGGAGCGAGTGTGTTTGGGTGTATATCTTTGGGGGGATAATTATGTATTTTTCGTGTATGTATCGTTAGTCACTTAAGTTGCCACAATACTTACTAGGAAATCGAAAACTAAAAAAACAAACAATCTTAGCAAACTTGCAGATAAACGAAATTGAAATGAATTGAATGGCTTTGCGTTAATTTTTCTGTACATTGTAAAGGATGTGAAATGAACTATATAAAACATTTTTAATTCTTTAGGATGACTTTAAATGTTTATACGTATTTCATAACCTACCCTTTTTTATTAATTTTAATGCCGTATCCTTAGCGTATAGTCGTTTTTTAAATGCTTAAGACTATTCTCACATAACCTGCAAACGAATTCGAGGAGAAAACAAACAAAATTAATCGTAACATAATCGCCCATAATTTAATACTTTGTTTTAGTAGAGCCTCCATAATAAAAATAAAAAGAAAAAAAAAACATGAAAATTGAAATATACAACAAAATTGAAACAATTAATCGAAGTTTGTTTTTAATGGTTTTAGTTCTATTAAATTCTATAAAAATTCAAAATTTGTGAATCTTTAAATACACAAATTTTAAAGTGACAATGATTTTTTAAGTTATCGTCCGACAATTAGGATCTAAAGTGAGCCAGGCAGAAGATTTAGCAACCAAATTAAATTTAAAAAAAAGAAACGGAACTTTTTAAGCTGATTCACTAGATTAAAGTTTATTGCGGCTAAAGAGTACAATATCAGTTAGACTGTGCGTCACGTCTGGGGGACTCATACATATAAAACACACTTATAATTCTCCTGATAGTTGGATGATCCATATGAATGACTCAATTAATTTTCAATAAATAAACTGTGTATTTAAAAAGCCGCCAAATCAAACTTTGTTATCGACAGTTGGCAACGCGACTCGTCTGATCTCACTTAAGCTCCCACAACAGATGGTATTTTGTAACACTCATCCTACGGTCACACTAACTAAAATTATTAACAAAAAGATTGGAGCAAATGGCCTAAAAATGAGTGATCCCATGAAGTGGTTCCACGGCAACCTGTCCCGCGAGGCTGCCGACGATCTTCTTAAGCAAGGTGAGTTGGGGGATAGAGCCCCTAAAGCTCCGGATCCCAGAGATGAGCGCGCGGATGTGGGCGTGGTGAACCGTAATGAAAAGTAATTGAAATCGTCGCAATCAACAGGTTACGAGGATGGAACATTTTTGGTGCGCGAGAGCAGCACGGCCACGGGAGACTTCGTGCTGAGCCTGCTCTGTCAGGATGAGGTTTGCCACTACCAGATTCGGCGACATGGCGGCGAGGACGCCTTTTTCTCCATCGACGACAAGGTGCAGACAAAGATCCTGCACGGCTTGGACACCCTGGTGGATTACTATCAACAGGCGGCCAATGGACTGCCCTCCAAGCTGACGGTTCCCCTAATCCGGGATCCCCCACCTCACAACACTCGCAGCCATGGAGTCACCAATCTGCTGCACCGCGCCACCAGCAAAAACGAGAGCAAGGTGGTCTTCGAGCTGCTCAAGTGCGGCTACCGGAACTTCGATGCCAAGAATCAGGATGGCCAGACGGCCCTGCATCTGGCGGCCCTCAATGCGGACGAGGATATTCTCAAGCACCTGTTGAATGCCAAAGTCCAGGTCAACAGCTCCGACTCCTTTGGCTGCCAGCCCTTGCATGTAAGGATCCCTTGCCACTCTGATGTGTAGTTCTTTTCTGATCTCATCCAATTTCTTGTCTAGTACGCCGCTCGCTCGAAACCAGCCAGTTTTATAAGGACCCTAATTGCGGCGCAGGCAAATGTCCAGGGCAGAAATATAGAAAACGGATATGTGCCGCTGCACGAGGCCGCCAAGCATGGCAATTTGGAGGCTGTGCAGGAACTGCTTTTGGCTGAAGCTCCGCCGCTCCCGAGGACCAGTTCCGGTGAGTTCCCCTTCGATCTGGCCAAGGAGGCGGGTCAGACGGCCGTGGAGGAATTCCTGCTGAGCTACAAGCTGCCACCGGCAAATACCACCAGGGATCAGTGGTACCATGGCACTCTGACCCGCGACGAAGCGGTGGCCATACTCAAAAAGCATGCCAAGGAGCTGCTGGCGAAGCAACCCGAGATGGACACCTCAGGCTGCTTCCTGGTTCGCTACTCCGAGTCGCCAGCGGCCTCTGGATTGGTTCTGACCTTGCTCAGCGACCAGGTGGTCAAGAATTTTCGCATTTCGCAAGCTGATCTCTACCAGAACGGTGTCAAGTTGCAGTCCGGCGGGGTGAGTTGTCAGAGATTGGTATTGAGTCATCATTGTGTGAAAACTTTAATTTTGTAGTCAAAGTTTCTGTACATCGATGACGGTCCCTACTGGCCCAGCGTGGAACATCTGATAGCCCACTTCATGCGCTTTTCGTATGGACTGCCGGCGCGCCTCAAGTTCGCCGTTCCGCCACAGCCCAAGCCAGAGGTGCCCTCGTTCGCCACTATACCTCGATCCTCGGTGAGGCCCAAGGCAACTTCGCCAGCGACGCCGCCCACGCCCGTGTCCCCACATCCTCACCATCCGCACCATCCCCACCCACATGTGCCGGCTTTGACCATAGCGAAGAAGAAACAGAAGGAGAACAGCAGCTCCATGTTCAATACGCTGCGTCTGACCAGTCCCAAGAAGGCTCTGTTCGACATGAACAGCCTGCGCAAGGGCAAGTCGAAGGGAAAGCGCAGCGAGTCCGAGAGCAGTGTCAGTGGATCCATGGCCCGGACGGAACAGGAGCTCCAGGCGGCTGCTCCCATGCTGAAGAGTCTATCCTTCTCCACGGAATTCTCCACATTCAATGCGGACAGCGGAATCGTTGATGGCGGCGCCGGTGGCGAGGTATACAATGTGCCCAGAAACAATACGCCCATTGAGATTGACCTGCCACCCATTGCCCAAAAGACTGAGGCCGAAGTTGAGTATTTCACGAAGAGCGATGTGGCCATTGAGCGGGAACGCGCTGGCCAGTGGAGCGCCAATGGCTATCAGCCCACAGTGGATGTGCTCACGCTGCTGGATCAGCAGATCAAGGCACCAGCTGCGGCGCGTCTCAACTCGCTGATCTCGACAGCTTCCACGGAGAGTGAGATGGCCAGTTACCTGCATCGCAAGTGCAGTGGCACCCCCACCACGCCCACCTCCACCGCCCTGGAGGCGGCTAAGCTGAGGTTCTTCATCGATCCGGATAATCTGGAGCTGGTCAGCGAGATCGGGCACGGGGAATTCGGTTCTGTGCACAGCGGGTGGCTGGTAAGGAAGGGCAGTGCCGGAACCGAGGACTCCCGCATCGAGGTGGCCATTAAGATGCTTAGCGACGAGCACAGCAACAAGCAGGAGTTTCTGCGCGAGGCCTCCGTGATGATGCGGCTGGAGCATAAGTGCATTGTGCGACTGATTGGCATTTCCAAGGGGGACATGCTCATGATGGTGCAAGAGCTGGCTCCGCTGGGCTCCATGCTGCAGTACATCCTGGATCACGGTGCCCACATCACGGTCAATTCGGAGCTGAAGGTCTGGGCCTCACAGATTGCCTGTGGTAGGTGTAATCAAGCAAGGCTTTTGTTTTAAACTCATTTTTTAATGTTTTCCTAGGCATGCACTATCTGGAATCTCAGCATTTTGTGCACCGCGATCTGGCCGCTAGGAACATTCTGCTGACCGCCCGGCACCAGGCCAAAATCAGTGACTTTGGCATGTCGCGATCCTTGAGGCCCGGCAGCACCGAGTACCAGTTCACACAGGGCGGACGATGGCCCATCCGCTGGTACGCTCCGGAGAGCTTCAATCTGGGGATCTTTTCACACGCCAGCGACGTGTGGTCTTTTGGAGTGACCATCTGGGAAATGTTTTCCCTGGGCGCACCACCCTACGGCGAAATATCCAATGTGGATGCCATCAAATTGGTGGACAGTGGAGAACGTCTGCCGCAGCCCAATCTCTGTCCCGCCTACATCTACGCCGTGATGCAGAGCTGCTGGAAGGAGCGACCCAAGGACCGGCCCACCTTTGCCTATCTCACGGAGTTCTTTGCCCGCGATCCCGATTACCAGAACCTGCCAGAATTGGTGCAAACGGTTCACATCTAAGCCCGTTTACCCTCGTCCCGTTTAGAGTGCAATTTTCTAAAGCTATTTTTATAATTGCTTATATTCCGATTTGTGGCGTATTAAAGGGACTCTCGTAGATCATGATTGCTATCCACTATCCTAGTATTTCGCGAGTCCCGATTCATGTTTATAGTTTGTAACATATATTTTTATATACAATTGTACAACCAATTTGTGTCAAAAGAATGCGAACAAGTGCCTTAAAAGATTTACTATATTACCTTTGTATTCATGTTTACAAATCTTTTTTGTTTTATTGGTTTACAAAATAAAAATAACTAATTTTTTATATTGCGATTCCTGATTCGAACAGAATTTAAATTTCTTTGCAGAAAAGTGTCATAAGCCCAGTACTAAAACAAACAGTATACATATTCTAAACGCTTCAAGAAATAAATTAAATCCAGAATTTTGTTTAACATTTCAAAATGTTTAAACATTTAATTGCAGTTCTTTTTTTACAAAACGGAATAACAAAAGTAATATTTTGCTTGTAAAACGCTTAAATACTAAGTCGGTTAGTAATATGGTTTCTTGGAAAGATTAAATCTAAATTAGGACGTTAGTGAAACTATGTAAAGGATAATATTTTCTTTTTTTGTTGTTATTTTTTTTTTTGTTGAGCTAACACAACAGAAATCAGGCCGAGCCGTTTATTGCCTGCTTCACGTTCGATGCACTGACGAGTTTCAGGGCGCCAACTATGCCGTTGAGGTATTCCTCGTTGTAGGGTTTGCCCTGGAGCGGAGTGACCACCGGGACGAGCTGATCGCTCTGCGGCAACTGGATGCCAATCTCCTTCATAAGTCCCTAAAAGCAGTACCCCGATTAGAGTGAATTTCGTTCAGTAGTTTATTATTTTACTTACTGCTTCCACTTCCACACTCAGTTTCAGTTTCATGTCCTGATCATCACCCTTCACATCCAGATCCTTTTGCACCGTGAACTTGGGCGTCTTGCCGATGACCCAGTCCCAGGAACTGTAGTTGGAGCGCAGCTCCTCGATGCCGGGGAACCATTTCTCCGTGGGATTGATGAGTTGGAATCCGCGCTGCTTCATCGTCTGTGTGTTACCGCCGTCTTCCAGCGAGGTGGCCGCCGTCCTTAGATACTCATAGCCCACGGCAGAGCGAAGCTGCGGAACGCTTACCGTACGGTTCACATCCACCAGATTGCGGATGGGCGACGGAACCGAAGCCGTGGCTCTGCTTATGTAGTTGGCCGGCTCCTTTACCAGTGATTCGCCCAAGTGCAACTTGTTGGCGCTGGCCAGGATGGTGCAGTGGTGATAGGAGTTCGGGTGTCCCAGCTTTGCTGCCGTTCCGGAAATCTGTAATTGAACAAGGGCGAATTGGTTAAGTGTACGGGCAACAGGGACCAGATGCACAGCCCCAGCTGTTGGTAAAATGGGCTGACGCTAGTGTGGGGTCACAGAGGGTCGCCCCATTCCCTGATAAGAGCCCGTCAATTGCCACCGCTCCTCCTCACCTTTTTGTCCATCACCACAATGTCGTCGCGATCATTAATCTCCGCCTTGATGGCCCACTCTCGGAACAAAGCCCTGGTCACGATGTTCAGGTTGTACTTGCGATCGTAGCGCTCACGGGGCGAGAAAAAGGTGCAGTTGAGGTTCCCCAGGTCATGATACACTGCTCCGCCACCGCTGTTGCGACGGGCCAGGGTGATGCCGCGTTCCACCAGCCGCGAGACATTGGCCTCGGTAAAGGGGTTCTGGTGGCGCCCAATGACCACGCACGGATCGTTTGCCCACAGCAGCAGGACGTGGTGGTGGCTGAAGTCGAAGTTCTTGTACAGCCAGTCCTCTAGGGCCAGGTTGGTAAACACATCGCTGGACTGCGAGATGAAGACGGATTTCTTGATCTCCGAATCGGGCACCAAGGGCGGGGTCTGACGCTTTGGCTTCCTAGTCTCCTGCTGGGCGGTACTAGTCGGGGGCTCCACATCCCCGGAGGAGGATGAGGAGGCCAGACGAGTGACCTGGCCACCGGAGGAAAGGAGCAGCCGAAGCTGGCTGGAATTGCGACGCAGCAGCCTGCTCATGGCTCACACAAGGAAGTTAAAATTGCGGCGTTTGACGGTTGATTTCTGTTGCCAGGTGAACTAAGACACGGAATGCACTTGCAAGCGCAACAAGGTCAATGGTGTCGAAAAAAGCTCTTAACGGTTTGATTCTCTGCCTAATTCTGTGTGGTCTTCTGTGTGCTCTTGCTTTTCTTTAGGTTATGTATATGGCCTACTATCTACGCTATTCGTTTTGGTTGTTGATGGCTTTGGTCGCTCTGGACTTTAGACTGTGGCGGTCTGGCCGAATCGGGATGTGTTTGCAGCCACGGAGCTGGCCGAGATGAGGTATTCGTGCAGAGCGGGAGTCTGATGGAGCCACTTCCAGGTTTGGTGCAGGCCACACACTCGCTTTCTGAGACCCAGACAGTCCTTGTTGGCACAGTTCACTGGCATACTACGCCTCACTCCCATCCAAGTGGGGGATACTAAGGAATCCGGTTGTTACGGTGGGGCCGCAGTGTTACGGGCCCGATAAACCTGATAAAAAACGTCCAAAGGGTTTTTCAGCTGGCACGGAAATTTTCCACTCTTTGTTCGCGATAGTCGCTGGGGGCGGGGGTGATCTTGACTGAGCGGGGGGTGTATATTATAGCACAAACAAACGAAACGAACAGAGAAACGATCGAAATGCGTGTGGGAACCGAATGGCTTTCGCTTCAGATGGTTGGCTCTTGTTCTTTCTCCTAGCCCCCCAAATGCCATTCACAGCGAACTGAAAGCTCAGGCCAGTGCTGGCAGTTTACACTTTTTCAAGCTAGATCTTTAAAAAAGATACAGCTTAGAAAAATTGTGAGTAGCCTATATCCATTCATCTAGAAAATTTTTAAGCACTAACAGTTTCAGCTGTTATGTTTGATACTTGTATCATATTCGAACATCACATCTTTAAATTAAATGAATTGTGGAGATTTTTTAAAATTATATTTGTGTCAAATAAAAGAAAAATTATGTGCTTGTGTAGGGTTCATAATTTGGAAATTTTACCTTCTACACTTTAAAAGCCCTAAGATTTTTCTGTTTTTCAGCCTTTATTTTTAGTTTTTAGCCTATTTATATCCAGAATCTAGCTTATGCTGCAGCTCAACACCTGGCAACACTGGCTCCGGGGGACACATGATGTTTATTTAAACAATAAAATTCTGGCGTCGGCCATTTAATTCTTTCTTGAATAATTTACGCTAAACATGTGTGATATTCGGTGAAGTCTGACACTATATTATTTTACAAGCAGCACACTAGATTGATTTCTTTAATTTGGTATTCCTCCATTGTTTATGTACGCCGCCTCCTCCGGATCGATTGGTTTGCGGGCAAATCGTGCCGGCAGCTCGTAATCCTCGATTGCAGGACCTCCGGCCAACTATGCAAAACAAGAGATACGAAATGAATAAGAAAGTCCATCAGGAGCAGGTGCACTTCGTAGTAAATGAGAGCGGTGGGTTAACCTTTTTGCCTCCTGGTGGCTGGGAACTTGCCTGCTGATTTGCGGTCTGCGCGCCCGGAGCTCCCGCTCCCCCTTTGCGGAAGTGGATTAGGGGCACTCGCTTGGCCAGGCTGACGAGCGTTGGACGAACCATTTCAATATCAATTTAGTTTATACCAAAATCCAAGGGAAAAGTAAAAGTTACGTCAATAACACAGCTGACTATAAACTCCTGGTGGGGTTGCCAGATCGGTCATTTGCTATCAAATAGCTTGCGTTCCTTGTGAATGGCAAAACTGCATGAGGCAATGATACATATTATTTAGTTCTTGTTTCCAAATTTTATCAAAACATTGAAAAATAATTACTACTAATTTTTAAGTTACGGTAACATTTTATATAAAAATTGAAATATATAATTGTTTTCGTTTTTTATCATTTAAATTCATTTTAATAATTAAATATGATATTTAAAATAAAAAATCTTCTACGAACTTGCTGTAAAAATAACTGTTCGTATTTTTTCCACTATTTTTCAAAGTTTGGCGGGGTGATTGCCACCTGATGCCATTTACATAAGAAAAAATCACGAAGAAGTATCGATTTTTGTCCAGCTCTATCGAATTGCAGCCACTCTAAAAAAAACAACTGCGCGTAATAAATATTTTTATAAATAAACCAAATAAATCACGCAAAATTCCAGTCGTGACAGATTAAACAAGAGATTAAAAAGTGGTGAAACACAAACCAGCAAACAAGAAAGTACAGTTTACTTTAATCGCACTCTCTGCGACCCAAAGTTCCCACCCTCTGGTGAGTAAGAAGAAGCAAGTTATTTGCATGACTCATCCATCGCGAAACAAGTTTTTATCAGGTTGTTTTTTGTTTTCTTCTCTTACATTAGCTAGAAAGAGTTTGACGTCATCGACTGGGCAAACATGAAAACCCCCGTTTCCGCTGCTGCGAATTTAAGTAACCTGAATGCTGGCAGTTCCGTTGCAACTGCCGTGCAGATCGTACCGAAAACAGAGCCCATTGGAGAAGAAGGTGGCCCCATGTCGTTGGACTTTCAAGCACCAGGCCTCACATCCACCCCCAATCCCAATAAGCGTCCCGGTTCCTTGGATCTGAACAGCAAGGGTGCCAAGAATAAGCGGATCTTCGCGCCGTTGGTCATTAACTCACCGGATCTGCAGGCCAAGACCCTGAATACACCCGATCTCGAGAAGATCCTGATGTCCAACAACCTCATCCAGACTCCACAGCCCGGCAAGGTTTTCCCCACCAAGGCGGGACCCGTCACCGTGGAGCAGGAGGCCTTTGGCAAGGGATTCGAGGAGGCTCTTCAGAATCTCCACACCAACTCGCAGGCTTTCCCGGCCGTCAATCCAGCTCCCAGCAGCAATACGGCCGCCGCTTCCGCCATGACGGCGGTGAACAATGGCATCAGCGGAGGAACCTTCACCTACGCCAACTTGGCCGATGGCTTCTCGGTGATCAAGGACGAACCTGGCAACCCAGCCGGTTCGCCCACCGTCAGCCCCATCGACATGGAAACGCAGGAGAAGATCAAGCTGGAGCGCAAGAGGCAGCGCAACCGTGTGGCCGCCTCCAAGTGCCGCAAACGCAAGCTGGAGCGCATTTCGAAGCTGGAGGATCGCGTGAAGGTCCTCAAGGGCGAGAACGTCGACCTGGCGAGCATTGTAAAGAACCTCAAGGACCATGTGGCGCAGCTGAAGCAGCAGGTGATGGAGCACATTGCTGCAGGCTGCACAGTTCCGCCAAATTCGACGGCGGCCCTCCACGCGGATCAATAACATATGGACATTGCCGAGGAGCCGTTGCAGATGTCAGCCGGAGAGGACGAGGACGAAGAAGATGTGGCACTGGAGACTGTAACTCCTTCGAATCGAGAAGTTTCAGGGCAACCCATTCCCCTAGAACTCTTTCTAAGTGCCACCACGAGTGCCTTGGAGTTGGAGGCCTCTGCCTCGCAGGATATCTCCATGAATGGCAGCGATCTTCTGGAGGAGGATAGCGAAAACGAAAGGCCACTAGTACTTTACATCCTCTCGGACGACGCAAACTGAGAATTTGGTGCCTTTCTTGACTTCGTACAACGGCTTTTGGTCACTAGCTGCAATATCTGGAATGCTTTTTAAGTGTTTTGTTTACTTAGTTTTTAGTCTAAGCTATAATTAATCAAGTATTATCTGTGTTGAACGTAAGATAATATAAAAGTAATGTAAAAATACAAGTATATATATTTTCTGTACTTGATATATACATAAAAATTAATTCTACGTCTAAAACTAATTTACTCATCGTCCTCCTCCTCTTCATCATCATCATCGTCGTCGTCTTTGTCATCCATTGCCTCAGCGTCTTCTTCCATGGCGCTATCGGCCTGTTCCTCGTCATTCACATCATCCTCGACGTGCAGCTGGAAACCCTCGCTTTTGGTCCACGAGCATTTCATGGTCAGCCGGAACTTGGCCATGGGTTTGCCCACCAGCTTGAGAATTCTCGCCTGCTCGGGCGTCAGTACTTTGCCTTCCTCGCAGACGGTGTAGTCACCGTACAGGGTTACGATACCCTTTTCCAGCTTGGTGGGCAGGCCCAGGGATCGTAGATGCGGCTCCATAGAGTGGGCAAAATCCTCCAAGGGACCAGCTGGCAGGGTAACCGTTTCCGTGGCCACAAAGCCACTGCGTGCGTACTCCACGGCCCAGTAGTTTTCGGCCCACTCCAGAACTTCCTTCTTGGATTTGTCCGTAAAGAGCAGACCCACTTGGCCAGTTAAACGCTTGGATAGCTATTAAAAAAGTGATTAGTTATGGATATAATGTTTATCTATTAAGCCTTATTTACCTTGTGCAAATCCGTCTCCACTTCCTCGCTTTTGGTGCGACCCAAACCGATCTGCATCACGCGGTTCTTTCCGAAAATGAACCGAGAGTTCTTTTTCCACTCCTGCCGCAGATCCTTAAGCAAGCTATTCCTCATATTCTGAACTTGGAAAACGAATATATTGGGGTATTTGCCCACACAAAAGCGAATGTCGTCCACGATTCGCTGTTTCCAAGCCAGACCCTTGCGGTCGGTTTTGGTCAAGGAAACTAAAGTAAGGTAATTAGAACGTATTACTAGAGGTAACCAGGTAATTTAATATCCAAACTCTCACCTTTCTTATCACGTTTAGAGCGCGGCATGTCTGAATTTGTTAAAAATCAAAGTTTTTTTTAGGTAAAACCAAGAAAATAGTTCCCACACAACAAGTCAACACGTGCGGGCTGTTAGAGGTGGTTAATACATCAAGTCAACTATCGATACAGCTCTTGAGTATCGGAATTCTTCACTGCGGGTGTGGGAAAATTCCTGTGGGCCCATCCCTAGCCGAATTCCGACGTTTTCCAACACAGCTGCGCGTTAAGAAGAAGAAGAACCTTCAGGTCCGACCCGTACGAGGTGAATTAACTAATTAATAAGTGGTCGCTGGCTAAAAATTAAGTCAAAATTCGAGTGTTGTGAGCCCTAGGATAGCCCCGTCTTCGTAATTCGCTTGAAAATCCAGGCGCAGTGAGTAGTTTCATCTAGTGCGTCGTGTGTCGGCTTGCGACCGCCATATTGTCGGCGGATAAAATTTTCCCCGAATAACTGCGCCCACGCACTTTATCGATTCGATGGCCTCCTAATTGGATGGCAGGTGCCCTTACAACGTTCAATATTGCGTTGCGTGCGCTATTCGCATTGCGAAAAACACATTGCAAAAGGAAATGGATGTAGCAATTTTTCATTACCGCAAGCAAATAGGACGCCGATGACGTAATTTTCTCCGTCTTGTTCTTTATGAGCTGTAGTAAAAAGTAGAGATGGGCGCGTGAGCGAAGTTTCAGTCGCGTCACGCACGGTAAACTGTATACAGTAATAAAAAAAAATTGAATATTCTTAAGCTGTAATTTTTTTAAAGAAATACTTTTAATGCCCCAATAATGTTAAGTAGTTTTATCAATTTGTATCGCAAACTTAATGTGTTGTTAAACAAATCTGCACAAATGCATGCAATTGTTAGTTGCTTCATAGTTTTATTTTCAAGCTTTTTTGTAATGTTAAAAATATTATAGAACTTACAGGTTTCAGACAAAACTCAGAGAAAATCAAATTCCATAAATTAACTTTGTTGTTTGTAATTTTTATGACTTCAATTGAAAATGCATCATACGAGTTCATGTCCAAGACTCACATTCCTTGCGCATCGCTAGTAAAACATAAGTTGGGCTGATATCTCGTTTTTATGTGTGAGTGCACGAATTCAATGAAATCCAAATTAGAATTAAGGCAATTTACCGCCACCCCCTTATCAGTGGCATACATCTCCCGATTAGGTTCCTCCTTGCGGAGGCCATAAAGTCAAGATAAAAGCGTAATCTGGGGACCAGATAAGCGCTCGAAAGTTTCAACAGGTTGGAAACTAACTACAAACTATTACTTCATAAACTGATAAAACCGGAGAGTTGACAATAAAAGCTAGCTCTTGTTAGAGCTTTTGATATACAAGTTCTTAGAACGCTGTAAATAGTATATTGTATCTGCAAGTTTGCTTTTTAGGTTTTACCTGCGCACCTGGCAACATTACTGCAACGGCAGGTTGGCAACCCTGAGCAGATCTCTCTCGCTCTCGCCTGCGCCTTTCCCATATGCTGCCTCTCTTTTGCGGCGGCGCATGTGCCAATGTATGTGTGCGGAGAGAGCAGAGGCGAAACACAGATACAGATACGGCGGCAGCGGCGAATGTGTGCAACCTTTGCCGTCCGTCATTCTCATTCGTTCGTTGGTAGTGTTCGTTGTCGTTTCAGTTTCAGTTAATCGAGAATGTAAGTAACAATTTTGCTGGCCCAGAGTGTTGTATCTATGAGTGTGCGCCTGCCAGTGTGTGTATGAAATTATAAAACGAAAATTTGCTAAAATATCGAGGGAAAAAACACGTGTAAAACCGCCTATGAGTAATCACTTGCATGCATCTATACTCGGACCGCAGCAAAATCGAAGTATCTCCATTAGGCATCGATCCAAAGCCGAAAAATAGTTCTACGCAAAAAGTCGAAAGTGTGAATTTGTGCAAAAAAAAAAAAAAAAAAAAAGAAAGAAAGAAAAGAACATTCCCGATTTGCCCGAGTATTGGTGCATGTATGTGATGCGGTGAGATTCGCTTGTAGCTTCGTATTTCTCATCATCATCATCATCAGCAGTTCATCGGTTAAGTTGTAGGCGGCGGACATAGCCGTCTTCTATATATACGCATATATAGTCAGCTATATGTACACAGTACACCAAGATATTATATATATATCAACTTGGATGGGGACACGCGGTTAGGTGGGTTTTCTCGCCAAACTCAACACAGTTGGCGGCCGCCTGTGGTAGATACATTTCGGACTCTCTCTGAGCGCTACGTTCTCCGCATTCCTCCTCTCTCTCGGCTCCCCCTTTCTTCCCTCCCGATTATTTTTATAATTCTGTAGCGCCGCACTTGGAAACACGATTGGCGGCCCCACCAATACCATCTCAAACCCATCACCTCACCACCACCCAGAACGCATCAGCACCAGCACACGCACATGCACACGCACAGAGCCCCCACAAAAGTTAGTAACTTTTTCGCCCCATGTAGAGTACCCACAGTGTAGAGGAATTTCTACATCAACGCCGTCTGGGTTTCGGGGTTTGTGGGGTTCTTGAGCTTCTGCGCATGCTGTCGGCCGGCGCAGATAAAGTTTAATGTACCCATAGATTTGCAGAGTTTTCTAGCCCAGGAATTAGCCGGACCATATGGGTTTGATTCCCCCCTCTAAAGTGTATCTAAAACTTCGTATACGTCACTCCCACCTGTATTTTTTTCCTTTTATTAATTTATTCATTCAAGCAGATGAGCAATCTGCGGGGTTAAAACAAGTTTTTTCTTTCATCCGATAAAAAACTAGAAACATATTTGTGCCCATTTCAGGGGAGTGTTGCGTTAATTTACGTTACGCCTGGCTTAATGTTTTGGCATTTGCCGAACAGCCAGAAAAACATGTCAATTGACCTAAAAACGCGTTGGTTGGCCGCACCCACCCCTCCCTCGCCACGCCCCTTTCCGCAGCCTTTTGTTTTGACAAAGGGTCAATGCTTTTTCAATTTGGCGGTCGATCGGTATACAAATAGAGGCGGTCATTTATATAGCCCAATATTCCATTAGTTGATTTAAATGCGTCGCACTTTGCCTCTAAGTAAACTACTTCTTGAATTCACAAAACTTATATTTGGTGGAAGAATTTTTAAGGAATGGCTTTATCAATCCGAGCTTAAACTGTAATATGTATCACTTTGATTTTAATTCTTGGTATACCATAAACTCCATTTTACAATACTTACAATACTTAATTTACAATACACATCATTACCTTTTTCTTCTAAATATTTTATAAACAATTTGCAATTTCTGTTAACAAAAAAGTATATCAAAATTCGATAGTTATGTTTGATAAACTTAATTTTATATTGGTCGTGATATTGAAAAGGTTCAGATATATCTTACTTTCATTTAAAATGCTTTAGAAAATAATTTTTAGTTTACTACTTTTTTATTTGACACATGTTGGGGGCCCAGTTAGCCAAGCTTGGCTGTAAATCCAATTGAACGCGGTATTTGTGGTGCTTTTATGACGCCAATGTGTGCCGACCAGAGATTTTCCATTTCAATCATCAGTTGGCTGGCTGGCTGCATTAGCTGGCATTCTTGTGATTGGTTTTTGAGGTTTCCGCCGGGCGGGCAAACAAAATGTTTTTTGTCCAGAGCGCAAGTTGTCTAAAAATACCAGCAACGCCCATATGCATTTCCACGCGCCGATTTTCAGCCCCCCGCCACCTTCTATACTGCTTTTGCTTTCAAGCTTTCTCCAGGTCGGGCGGAAATTAATCGATTTTCGCTTACGTCCCTTTCCAAAAGCCAAGCAGGAAATTGATCCTACGTTAAAAGTTTGGATAGATCCTATCGCAAAATTCTAATTGGATTACGTGTGAGCGAATTAATGACTGTCGCATATTTTCCTGTCGTTTTTGTGTTTTTGGTTTATAATTACTGCACGTTTAATCGATAGAAGTTCACTGAGTGGGCAAATAATTGAGTGCGTCACTGTACGGGAAATACAAACAGACTGTCTTTAGCACGTACATAAATATCTATCTTTGGCACTCACACAGAAAAACATATAAACGCATTAAGGCGAGCAGACT